CAAATGCTGTGAATGTTATGAATATTCTCTGAATATTCTCTGTACACTTACACAGAAATTTGATTTTATTTTTTTTCTTTGTAAGAATATTCATAACATTCACAGCATTTGTAAAAATATTCAGAACATATGCAATATTCGTGTCAAATTCCGATATGTTTACTCAACATTTGGATATTCATTCGACTGAATTTTTTGTCATTAGCCCCTAGGATTCAACATTCAATTTATGAGGTATTAGTCACTTTGGAAAATTATCAACACTCGAGACACACCATCAATAGCTGAAATTGTCACTAGGGGAATCACTCACTTTCCAAATGGTGTGAATCTTACGAATCTTATGAATCTTTTGTTTACTGAAATCCAATATGACGACTGACAGTTCTGTCGCCATTTTCAATTTGGATTCACGAGATTCATCATATTCATGACGATTCGTTCACAGTAATGTGTTGAATCTGAGTGAATCTTTTGAATCTGTGTGTAAACATAAGAATTTTGTTTGAATTTGGAAAAAGACTTCAATCATACAAACTGTATTGAATGATAAATTCCCCTAGAATTGTCATCGTGCAACTATCTCTAGTTGAAATTGTTAAGAGTTGGTCGATAAAATTTGTGTGCGTGAGCGATTGTGTTCTCTCGCTGCACACAAGCTACCAAGTTGCGTTTTTAATATCGCCCAGTGTATATATGTATGTATAATATATATATTGGGACATCAATGCCATCATCAGCACTGAATAAATTTAATTAGACACGTTTGGGGATCACAATCACTTTCAATTAATTATTTTCAATATGATGTGTCTCGTTCATTCGTTCGTTCATTCATTCACCCACTCAAGTGCTAAACATGGAAATAGAAACGCGCACGAAACTGACTGTCGAAAATTGTCATTCATGACATTTTACTAGACGTCTTTTTTTTAAGTTGCACGCGTTCGTTATCCGTCGTTTTCAATTAAATGAGCTTTTATTTCGACATTTTTTTTGTTGGGAATTTTTCTTTTTTGCGATGGCAACACAATTCCATTATAATCTATAGTTTGTACCATCAAATACCGAGAATCGGGATATCATCATTTTGATTTACAACATCGTGATGAGTTAAATTCGGTTTAATTGAAATATTCCATGCACCCCATGCCGTCCCGCTTTTTTTTGTTCCTTCTTCAATGGCTCAATGGGAGAAAAGCTGCCGAAAAAAGTGCGATTGGTGTTCGAATATGGTGAACAAAATTGCGAATTAGATATATTCTAGGAGATTCAGATTTGATATTCGACGATGCTTTATTATTCGGCATAACATCATAATGGAACTAAATAATTGTTCATGCGTTAAATCACTCCACATTCTCTCATTCATTCTCCGTATATATTCGAATCGACGCGGCATGAAATTACTTTCTTTAACAACGGAAAAAAAATATATATTCAAAGTTAAGAATCAGCTAGAGTATCTTGTCTTATCAAGAACTAGATCGTCTTATTATATACATACTGAAGTCACCAAGCTTGATTTTCAATTTGTTGGCAAAATCGTTCGGATTTGATCCGACTCGATGGCAATAATTAAATCGGCACGATTCACAATCAAGGAACTGATTCTATGGTTTAGATGGGAGAATTTGCATGTAACAGCGTGTTAAATGTCATACCGCCATTATATGTGCCGCACCAAATGATGTAATCCAACATTTTCGATTTCAAAGTGACTGTGAAATGCTAATTGAAAAAAGAATGTTGCGTTGTGTATGTGCCCATGGAGAGAATGTGAATGCGTGGGTGGGTCGTTAAAAAGCAACACGAAGAATTCGTTCCAACTAGAATCCAGTCGTTTTGCCAGCCAATGACAATTCGCCAGAAAATATTTTCACGAACTGATGGAAGCAAATGAATTAAATATGTTATTTCACACAAAAGCGCTCTACCCCCAAAAAAAAAATCCCACGAACAGCCGATCGAATTTCTCGATTACAAACAATGAATAGTGACCGAATTAAATGTTGACATTTTACAAGTTACAGAGTTTCTCGTATTTTGGCCAAAATTTCGAATATAAAATTCGATATCTAAATGATGAGGCCCGGTCATTTAGTCCAATCCAACATTTGCGTGAGTTGAAATGAGAGTGGCATTTATCTGATTTAAAAATGCATATATTTTATGCTTCTATCACAATTTTCGTGATATATTTTATCTCTCTCTCTCTCTCTCTCACTCTCCCACAAGCACACGCACACGCATAAAAGACAGAATGTGAACCATCGTAATTAAGTGGGTGAGCTTTTGTTCATCGGTGTCGCATTCCGAGAATGGCCAATTCAACTTTGTTGAATTCAATTAATATTATGCAGTGAACGTGTTTCATTTTAAAATCCGATTATCATTTTTTTTTAAATTGTAGTTAATAGGCTTTGAGCTTTTTATTGGCGAAATTTATTTGAAACAAAGTTGGAAAAAAAACGTAGGTGCACGAAGCAAAAAAAATGCAATAGTACGTTTTCATTGCTCGAGAATTAAATGCTTGAATTTGTGCGTTTCACTGAATGTAAACCGTTCAATGGCAACGATAATGTTTTGTGAAATGAAAGCCATTTACAATACAAAAGACGTATTGAACCTTTGAAAATGGGAGATTTTCTTTCGTCATTGTTCTGCCACACCCAGCAAAAAAAGCGACGGTGACAACAACGCCGCAGCTTTTGATAGCATGAACATTGAATAAGCTATTTTATTACATCCTCGTCGGATACCCTTGATTTAACATGTAAAATAACAACAAGAAACGACAACAGTGACCTCTCGTAGCGGCACAGTTGAAACTAACGAAACAAACACAATTGAACATGTCATTTTTACGTTCAGTGTTGGTTCTGTTGTTTGTCGTATAGCCGAAGAGAGATGTCTACAGCTAAGTGGCGTTGAATGACATTCAACACTCATGTTTTATTATTTATCTCGGTCGATGGCCATTCCGTTCCTCTCAACATACAGATACGCACACGCGCTCATTTTCATTAAATAAATATAACCAATCTCATTTGCAATAAATTATTTTCAACAGAAGCAATAAATGAAATAAAATTTATTTGAGTTATTATTTCAATTTAATCCAATTGAAAGCATCTCGCTACTTTGATATATACATATATAATGAATGTTCGTTGTTTGGGATGGGTGGGAGTTGGTTGGCTGGTAGGTTTAGCGATTGTTCACAATTGATATATTTGCCAGGGAAATCGATTGAAAACCCCCTTACTTATTGACAATATGCGTTGCGTTGAGAACATAATAACATTTTCAATTGAACGATATTCTGCCTCATTGAGCATAGCATTTTGAATCCACTTACCTGTTCTCTTTTCAACATACAATTCCGATTCTAGTCTTCGGGAAATTATTCATTTTCTTTTAAATTATCGAGAAAATGCTGAAATGTCTTGAACGAACAAAATGAGTGCATTGACGTTATCGCCGGCTCCCGATCTCTATCCCTTCCCCGCGCGACCAACGCACACACACACAAACGCCGTACGTACAAAATCAAATCATTTTCCCATTTATCGTTCAGCACAAGAAGTGCTCTCGGAAATTTGCGGTGGCTCGAATGAACGAGTGTTTATGGGTGAAATCATCGATTGGTTTAGTAATGCGACTACTACTACTTCTGTTGTTGTCATGTAGTCGATGATATAAAGCTATGCATCCTCAGCGGGAATTTCCTTAAGGGAGCACTCTACAAAGTTGTTGTGTACTGTGCTATGCTATTCTGTGCTGTGCGTTGTATTTGTGTGATGGCTGCATGTGTGCCGAAAAGCTTGTGAAAACGGTAGCCACATAGTGGCATTGTCTAAAACTTTTCCCACTATTTCTAAGCTGCTTTGCAGCTGGCTAATGCAATTTGCACTGGCAAAAATTGCAAATATGCATACATATCTCTCAATCTATCTAACTCTCACTCTCTCTCTCTCTCTCTCTCTCTCTCTCTCTCTTTTTTTCCATTCGCTAAATTATGATGGAAATTCGTCTTAAATTTGGGCAATTAAATGAAAATGGATATACATGGAAAAGTCAAGCTTGAAATTAATTAAATCTGTCATGAAGATGTTTCGAATGCGGTGAATATTTGTACAGTGACTTCAATTAAATGAATTCTCCATCTCGTTGGTGGAACATCGTTTACGGGTTCGGTGAAAATTCGAATTATCATTTGCCAGTTCATACCATTGGCTATGACTATGCATTGTCTTATTTCCGTAATGGTATACATAGTACATACACACACGACGAAGAGAAAAAAAAAATAGGCGAACACAATTTTCTGTTTTAACTGGATTTCATGCAAGAGCTGTGTACATTTTCACCGAAGTTTCCCAAAACTTTTGGGTTGGGTGCGACAAAAGTGGTTGCGTTTATCAAAAAGGCATACTGTACTCTTGAATCGCAATTTATTGCTTCGCAACGAGAATTATAGTTGTCTCAATCGTTGATTACTCTCCTTTTCGCTCCTCTTACTCTATCTCTAACACACACACACGCATTCATCGTCTCTGTGAATTTTTGTTAACAAGCTTCCATTCCCCATTAACATCAGAACTTGAAACTGTATCGTTTCATCTGTTCCCTGTCATGTTAACATGTTCTCAGTCGCATTTCTTTTTCCTCCCTTTGCCACGCATATTTTCACCGAATTTATTTATAGACGGAAACACCAACTTTTAAATACAAGTTAAACACACCTAAAATATGAAACGATCCACAAAACGAATCCGATAGGCTTTTTGAAAAGGAAACTTTTAAACACATACACGCACACCCTTTTTTTTCTTCTACCCATTGACAATATATTGAATGTTTGAAATGTCCAAATTTAGGGCGTCTATGATCAATCAATTTCATACACATAAATAATATTCATTCGTTCTACTTTTCGCGAGCGGTTTATGTATTTTGAAGCATAAAGTAATATTTGATTTGTTTTTCCATTGCAGAAAGAGTTAAACTGGAAGCCAGAGGTAAGCTGAACTTGTTATCATGAAAATTATCGATTATACAAAAACAATTTTATCGGTTTTACAAGAACGACGCTACCGAATGATTATGACCAATGATTATTGATAATAATCACCAATTCCAAATTGTGGCCGGTCACAAAATCGATGAGGTTGTGGAAAATACGAGACAAAAAATATTGTTAATAAAAATTCAATTATTGTGTTATCTTGAAAAAAACATTTTAAAAACGTTGAAAAAAAAATCTGTTTTTTTGCAAACATTTTTCGGTGTTTTTGTGCATTTCGAATTTTTTTTTTACTAAACAGTAATAACAATAATGACAATAATAACAAAGTTGAATGCAATAGATGAACATTTATTCGTTGTCCGCTTTCGACCAAATCAAAGGCATAAATTGAACTCGTGCTGAGCATCTGGTTTTATACACTGCGCCATGAACACTAGCAAAATAAAAAAATTGACTTTTTCATCAAAGTTTTTGTTATATAATATGTAATTTTGGTTTGCACCAACTCATTTGAATGGGTGCTTGACCGTGTTCGCCCCATTTCATGTGCCAATAACATGTGCATGTTATTGCAAAGATTGATTTATATAGTAGAGTATAGAGTGCAATCACAATGCCAATAGTTTTTGGTGATTATTTAATTAGGAAATATGATGAGGAATGTTTGCCAAGAAACCATAACGATTTTGGGAATTTTGATTGCTACATTTTATTAAGTACCCGAAAATGGAATACAATATGCAATGGAGAATTTGTAGCGAGAAAAGTGCAAACTGATCTGCAACACTAATCAGTATTTATGCGGTTTGCCGCAATCATATGTATGTATATGAAAACGTACCGATTGAATGAGCGAACATGTCAAATCCATTGATGATGATGATGTTGCTCATCATCATCACCATCATCAAAATTAAGGAATAGAGAACCGGGCTTAAATTGTCGGTTCAGATTTTATCACCGAATCAATTCACGCTTGAAATGACCACATTTTTTTTAGTAATAAACGCATGCGATATACTGATAACAGCAGCACACAAACCCAGACGAGACTTATATGAGAATCATTTCAATTGGTTGGCCGCCACTATTATTTCGGCAGCAATTTCATTATGTTCAATTTAGCCAATTGACGGCGCAATTTATTGAAGACAAAAAAAAATTGGATTATTATATTCGGTAAAGTCAGTCAACCACTTCGATGAATCGAAACCGGGTAGCTTTGTATCGAAAAATGAACTGTCCATACATATATTGGTCGATCAACATTTACAAATTAACGCAGTTTATCGAACGTAACAAAATACAATGATTTGGTTTTTGTCCAATGATACAAAATACACTTTGAAAGTCCAATTGATTCGGATTTAATGGCATACATTTGGTTAAAAAAAAAAAACAAACAAACAAGTAAGGTACATAAGTAAAGACACGGCATCTGTAATAAATTGCGCCAGAAGTTGAATACATTCCATTGGATTCTGGGCATATAAATGTTGTATATTACATCCCCAAAAAGGTTACAATTTCATGCTGCGATTCGTGGTTTTTTACTGCATTTCATAACGAATATTTATTTCGGGGCAAAAATTGAACCGACACATTAAATTGTTATCAATTAAATGAGCTCAATATCGGTCAGGGGCGCTTTCGCTGCTGCAAATTATAACAAATATGTGGTGTTTACCACATCACCGAATGCATGCTCTTAACGAGACAGCTATTAGAATATTCGGCTCGTTCGCGCACGTTTTTGGGAGGGAAATGTATACACAGCAGAGCGATAATTTTACTTCATTTCTCAAAAGTCACCAATAAATACATAAATATATACACAAATAAACGTGATAATAGCTGATTATTTCCATGTTAATGCGCATAGTCATGAGCAATGTGTATCAGACAGAGAGCGAGGGAGCTTTTTGTAATGAATGCCAAATAAACACGGTTTTACGACACATTTGGAGCTTACGTAATGCACTTGTCACCTATTCCAATTGGAATTGCCAAATGGATTTTAATACCACATCAAAAACAAATACGGGTTAATTATTTATAGATGTCGTTCCAATTGATGTTGTCAACCGGTTTGAAACCAGTTTATACTGCTATTGATTCGATAAAAATGCAAATAAAACACAAGCCAATAAAATGTACATTTCCACATTTTTATCTGATGAAGATGATGATGATGTAACTATAAGTGTGTCCTTGCAACCGCAATTAGAAATGCATGTGGCAGAACAAAATAACAAACAGATTGAAAGTATCGATTGAGTTCTGGTGGAAAAAATAAAGCAATCAAGAGGGAATAAATGTGTTTATTTGTAGATTCCCCATCGACTTTACGGGATAAATGACAAAGCTCCATTTTTATTTTTATTTCAATGACTTTTCCTCGACATTTGGAGACTGTCAATCCATTCGAATGGTTATAAAACATCTCAAACACGTTTTTGCGTTCGAATCAAATTGATTTTGTGAAGAAAAGAATTTGTATAACAAAATCTTAGAAACGATTTTCCCACAATGCATTTAATCGAAATTAAAATGGGATGTCGTGTGGCTCGATTAAATTAAATTAACAAGAATGAAAATACTCTAATTTGTTGCATAATTTATCATAATAAAAAGGTAATTTCAAAGTTCAAATTCCTGGAATAGACCAAAAATGTCATAGATGAAAAGTCTATTGTTCAGAGGGGATGCAGAGTGGATGCAGATTTTATACAGAGTGGATGCAAAGTGGAATGAACCTGAATTTGGTGCAACTTTGGACTATAGATCCAAAAGGAATCAATATATACTTTCGAGCGTAGTGCTCGTGCCCCCAAAATGTGTTTGTTCCATTTGGTCTCAAACGTGTAGATCCAAAATTCCCGCTTCCAACATCTGAATTGCAAGAAAATTAAACTTTGAAATGACCTTTTCATTATGATGAAGTATGCAGAAATAAATGCAGTATTTTCATTTTAGAAATGGTTTTTGCTTCATTTTAACTGAACCGCACGTCGATTGAATGCGATTGATCTTTCAATGTTTATTTGGATGCATCCGTTGGGTCGATTCAATCTAAAGAGTGTACATCGAGTCATTAAGTGGCTTTTAACCAGTGCGTATCGCCTTTGATGTTTTCCATAAAATGTGAATAGTCCTATGAACAATCATCACCACAGAAACCACCGTATGCAATCAAGAGACTGTGAATGTTTAGTCCGATGCAACGAACATTCAATGTTTCACCACAAAATAAGAGTCGTCGGTTGGCTTCATCGGAAATTTCATACAAAATCGATTGAAAGCATCCACCTAATTTTACCGATGAATATTTATTACACTCTCGTACCCATTGAACTACAAACGTAGAATGTGAAGTGAGATATTACATTTGGCAGCCCATTTTAAATGCAGGAACGAAAAAAAAACGAACCATTGTTGAAAGTGTTGCAATGAAAGCAAAGGGACTCTTTGATCTTCAATGAAATGTATCGAAGGCATGTGAAACAAATGTAGCATCGAAAAATCAATTCCCATCAACCGTAGTTGTTCTCTTTTTTGTTGCATTTGTGCTTTATCTCTTTTACTGCGAATATGCATCAATTGTATTATGCCGCCTGATAAAAGTTTGCAACTGAAAATGCTGTCATTATGAAGTGGTTCATTGTGCAAGCGAGTGAACGTTGGATTGCGCGCGAGAGAGCTAGAAGAATGAATGAGAACAAAATGACAGAGAGTATAATGCGTTTGCCATCCAATTTTGATTCATTGTCGCAAACATGAACAATGGTTGTGAATTTTGATTTGGAATAAAAAGAGCGGTTATTTTCATTAAAATAGTGTGCTGCTTGTTGCATAATCGCTTCATATTGCTTATACAAGTGGTGTTTTATCCGTAACACTCCGAACATTCGATTTATATGTGTGATATACGTTCATTTTATGTGTACGTGTGTGAGTGGCATTCGTTCAACTATCTACACGCGATTCAATAATAAATAGTGTAATTTAATCGCGTTCGGATATTGTTTTTTTTTTTGGACAGAGGGCCGAAACTAAACACACTGATTTCTTGAGTGCGTTCCGTTTCGGAATTTTATGTGAGAGATAGAAAAAGAGCAGCTCGTCTGTTTGCTGGCTTACGCCCATAAACGAGCGAAGCGGGCGCTTGATTCGAATGATGGCATTTCATGTAATTTTATCGAATGACGTCAATGAAAATGAAAATGACGATGTGCTGACGATGTGTGTGCGTATGTCTTTAGTGATGTTTGAGCATACAAGATTCCGAAATCAATCATTCCAAGTTTGATTGGAACAATAAAATACACCAGACGAGCGAGAAGAAAAAAAAAATGCACGACGCAAATTCGGTGCTGCTCAACTGAAGTTTATTTTCACATATTTATTGATTTGTTTTCTTTTCGACGACGTCAAGACAACATCTGCTGATTTTTCGGCCGACATTTTTCCATCGATATCGAAAACACATATTTTCAGGGAGATTTGCAAAGGTCGATCGTTTTCGCCACTTTCCAAAAAGTAAATGACAGGTTATTCCATGGATTATTTACTGAACAATTGATTAATTTTTGAAGCTGACAAAAATTCATAATAGCCCAGCTCTATCTATTTGTGTGTGTATTTTCTTTGCGACGGAAAATTAACAATCGAACCTAATTTAATGGCTCATGGTGTTCAAAATAGCCATATCATTTCGGACATAACGTATTTCCATATTTAACCCGATGATTTTCCATTTGATTGGGCCGAAAATGTGACAGACGCGATGCATCATTCGTATGTTACATTATTATTTATATTGTGAATATGTGTACAAAAATGTTGGTCTTCTGTCTAATGGTATGTTGTCGGGCAGTATGTGTATGTGTGAACGTTTCGGTATGTAAACACACAGCAATCGAAGATTCGAATGAGAGTAATCGCCTCCAAAAAGCACTTTATCACATAATCACATATATCATTGAATGATGT